GCCCTCCTGTTCCATGCACTGCGCAGCACAGGCAGTGAAGGCGGGGCCACTGCCCCGCGCTACTCCCGCAGGAGAAGGCCTCTCACCTTCACCCTGTCTGTGGGCTGATAGCAGACGCCCTCTGTCAGTCTGAGTCCCGGCCCCACGAAGCCTGTTTTTCTGCTTGATTGTAATCGTAAATGAGTGTCGGATTTTGTCCACCTTTCCACTGCCAAGGAGCCCCAGGACCCAACTCCAAAACTCCCTTTTACTTCCTTCTCCATGACTTTTTTTTTTTTTTTTTCCTGAGATAGGATGTTGCTGTGTAATTCAGTTTGTTCTTCAACTCACAGCGATCTTCCTGCCTCAGCTTCTTGAGTGCTGGGACTATAGGTATGCGCCACCATTCCTGGCCTGTGGTACATTTTCTGCCCCTGGTCTCCCCTGATTCTGGGCAGATGGTACCAAGCACAGCTCACACGCTCTAACTATGTAGGTAACATCCCGCCGCTGCTCTAGGAAAGTGCAGCCCTGGTGCGCGGGCGGCACTGCCCCTAATCCCCTTGTCTTCTGCAGGCTGCGCGGGGGAGTGAGGCACTGCGCATGCTCTGGACCGCACAGGTTCAGTCTGCCTTGTGCACACGGAGATGCCTTTGGGGGGAAACGCATCCTCTATAAAGTATTAGTCGAATTCAGTTCCCACTCTTTTATTATTCTTTTCAGTTAAGTAATTTGAAGCAAGTCACATTCGTAGATATCTCAGCGAACAAGTTCTCCAGCGTCCCGATCTGCGTCCTGCGCATGTGCAGTCTGCAGTGGCTGGACATCAGCAGCAACAGCCTGAGCGACCTGCCGCAAGACATAGACAGGTAGCTGCTGGCGGAGGCGGGCGCGCGCGGGAGGCCTGGGGCGCGGCCGCGTTCGGGCTGCGCGCGCGGCGTGCAAAGCGGTTTCAAGTCAGCCAGTTTTGCAGTTTATGTTTTCTCGGCAGTGATCGAATAAGGCAGCTTTCAATCTGCATCACCGTATTTGCGTGTACCTGCGCTTAGACACATCGCTGTCTTGGGGACTTTTAATTTGCTTCAGTCTTTCATAAAATGGCACAGTCGGCTTGCCATTATGTCACAGAAGGACCACAGCTCTGTGGAGAATGGAAACACTCAAACCAGGCGTGGTGGCGCACGCCTGCAGTCTCAGTGCTCAGTCGCTGAGGCAGGACAATCGCTGTGAGTTCAAGGCCAGCCTGGACGACAGAGCAGACAAAAAAACCCCACCCTGGATCATCAGTGAGGACACTCTGTCGGTTTCATTTTTTGATCAGATATAATCTTTCAAGCAGAATCAACATCCTTACTTTTTCAAACGATCCTCTTTGGCTATTGCATGTTTAAAAAATAACAGTGATGTGAAAACATGTCGGATCGAGTCATTGGCTCACCAGTGTCATTAGGCTCTTGGCCAGTGGCCCTAGGGACCTGGCTGGGTTTAAAGCTGTGAGTGAGACACGCTTGCGGCCTCCTGAAATCTGGTCTCATTCATAAAGAAGCACAAGTAAGATCTGAAAACACGGTGGCTGGTGTGGGTGCCTTCCGGCCCAGGTGACAGTCCTTTTACTCCTGTCCAAAGGTCATGTGTGTCCCGGTGCTGTCTGGGTTCACGGGACTAAGTGGAAATTGCTTTAGTTGGAATTGTTTAGTTTGAAACCCAAGAAGAGCCTGATGAACTATCTCTCCAGAGTCTGTCACGATGGAAAGAAGAATCTGCGCTGGGGACCGTCACCAAGTTAGAATGAAATGAGCTCGGGACAGCGTGCCCTGGGGATGCCTTGCCTTCCTTTCCTCCTCACCCAAGCTCTGTGCCTCTGTCCCTGTTAGAAGTAAGACGGGCGCTGAGGATCTGTGCTTGGGGCTGTAGGGAAGACCGGAAGCTGGCCTGAAGCCCTTGATTCTCACGCTCACCCAGATAGGGCTGCCTTCCCCACCTGGAGAGCCCCGGACACGCAGGAGACAAGGGACACGCTGCGCGCCTCACGCATCCCACTGCTACATTTGTCTTTAATTGGCGACTGAGTCTGGGCCAACTTAAAAGAAGTGATGTCACTCAGCCTGGTTTTCTTTATTATTTAAAATGTGAAGCAAGTTTCTTCTCTCTCTCTCTCTCTCTCTCTCTCTCTCTCTCTCTCTCTCTCTCTCCTGATTTTTTGGAACAAGGTTTTGCTACACACTTCAGGCTGGCTTTGAACTCAGTGTGTAGCCCAGGCTGGCCTCAAACTCAAAGTAATTCTCCTGCCTCAGCCTACTGAATGCTGGGATCACAGGTGTGCACAGCCACGCCTGGCTACAAGTTTGTTGGTACCCAGGCTGCATAGATGCCCTGAGTTGAGCAGCGTTTCCCCGCTGCAAGGTCTTGGCCGTTCACTCTGACGCCTGATGCTGCTCTCTCAGGCCCTTCTCCTTCTCCCCAGGCTGGAAGAGCTCCAGAGTTTCCTCTTGTATAAAAACAAGCTGACCTACCTTCCCTATGCCCTGCTCAACCTCAAGAAGCTCAGCTTGCTGGTGGTCAGTGGGGACCATTTGGTGGAGTTTCCGAGCGCCCTCTGTGATGGGTCCTCGCCTTTAAAGTGAGTGGACACCCGGGCGGCCAGGTAGAGCTGTTCCCAGAGGGCAGGGCTGAGGGCGCTGGGCACAGCCACTGTCCCAAGTCCTGAGAACATGTGCCCCAGCCACTTCTCGGGGGTGCTGGGATGGAAGCTGGGCTCCTGATCTGTGGTTTGCACACAGGGAGGGATGGAGCATTGCTGAGGAATCCTTCCCACTTGCCTTGTCCTTTTGATGTCCTTGAGCCAACGGGTCAACCACCTGGAGCGAACAACAAAACAACAACCAAAAACCCCACCATCCATGTAAATGTGGTACAAACGGATATAACCTGGGTCAAGAAATAGAATAGTCTTCCTTCCCCAAAGGAGCTGTGTTCTGAATTGAATCAATTGAACTGTCCCCTCTCTTTGTTTTTCTTGTGTGTATGTGGCTGGTTCAGCCCACCCTGGAGGCGGAGCTGGTGCAGCATGTGGTGCCTGGGATTGTGTTTTGGTCCCTGTGTGCTTGTCCAAGCAGGCACTTTAGACTGCTGAGCCATGTCTCCAGCCCCTGTCCCCTAACTTTGATCTAAACAAGTGGTGAATATCTAAGCTAAAAAGTACATATTACAATAGAAGTCACGCTGCTATGAGTGCCCCTCACACCCTCCTTCTCTCTTCCAACACACTTGTCCCGCTGTTTGGGCTTCTTCCTGAAGCACTTTTGGAAATCCTCTCTCCTGAGTGTCTTTACAACATGTGATTCTACTTGGGCACCACATGCCACGCTCGCCCCGCCCCTGGGTGTGCTGAGCCAGCCACCAAGTCCTGGCGTGGTGGCGCACATCTGTAATCCCAGGGCTGGGAAACCTGAAAACAGGAGGATCACCATGAGTCTGAGCTGTGTAGTGAGACCCTGTACCAAATGCATAAACAACAACAACAACAACAACAACAACAAATGTGATCCTAATTATGGTGACTGCTGCCGCCAGGTACCATCCAATGGAAAGGCAGGGTCATAAAAATATGAGGCTGGGTCCTTGTCCACCTTATTCACTGGATCAGGCACTGTTCCATTCCTGGCTCTTCCTCAAAGTCAAAATGACCGTGAAAGGTCAGCGTTTTGATTCAATTCAGAACACTGAGGACAGCACAACTAAAGACTTTCAGGAAAGAGGGCTCCAGAGGTGCTGCAGAAAGGGGCGAGAAGGCTGGGAGGAGTGAGTTCGAAGTAAAGGGAGTATTTTTTTGGCGGAACTGAGGATTGAACTCAGA